TTCAGAAAACAAAAGTACCAATTCTTGTTGGTTTTTGTTACTCTTGACTAAAAATCCCTTGTGTAGTTTACGTTTCAAATAAGTCCAGAAGCAAATATTCTGTTCACTAGTGGCAAAAAACTCGAATCATTTGTTCATGTTCAACTGGGGAATGAAAATTGCCGGGGATTTGCCTTGCTGTGGGAGTGTAACTGCATAAAATTACAATTATGAAACTAGTGACAACATGATTAAGTGAATCCAATGTTGAGACACATGCTAAGATTTATGATCATACATGATATTGGAAAACAAAGCCTAAACAGTAAACTATTCAGATTCCTTATCCGTCGAATATTGTTTCAGAACAATTCATTCAATTAGAAGAAGAAAATTATATCCATTAAAAAACTGTGCATATTATTTCATGGCTTACGAAATAAAGAAACACATATAGAGCACTCACTGGATTGCAAATCTTTTTTATTATTTACATGTTTGATTTTTATTGCCTAAATTCCCTTGATTTCATCAGATCACAGGTTAGGTTACTTCTTAACTTTGTCATCAGGATCAGTAGTAAACAAGCTGTCTGCTACTAGGGCCATTTGCATTCAAGAAGAGCTATGAAGAAATAATTGAAGCTAAAACTTGGTTTTGCTGGTATGGCAACGAGTTTCTGACCTGAAACAATCTTTCATTATGCCTATTTTATGCATCAGTTGACCTGTTAACCATCTGAGCTTTTCTTTGAGATCTAGAATTTTTATCTTCTAAATTTGAAGCTAGTATGAACATCAAAGTTTGTCTGATCTACGAGCTACAATTGAATTAAGAACTACTTGGAAAGCGAAAGCATTGATTATTGTGGCAAAAGGGTTATTACATCCTAATCCACTTGTAATGCAAACTGTAAATACACAAAATTCTCCAAATAATCACACTTAACGAGGTATTATCCTTCAAATCTATCTATCTATCTACTCTAGTTTCAAATGGATCATGAAATATAGTCCGACATAAATCCCCATAACAACCTAATTAAGCTAGCTTCTCCATGTCACTCCTGTCCACGAAGCTTTTGCTACAGCAACACAGATTCATAGACCTTTATGGGGTCAGCAAGAGACTTGGATGATCCACTCATACAACCAATTAAGTCGTGCTACAGTAATTAGTACACCCCTCTATCAACTGACACAGGAACAAAATCCGGGATTTCATATCAAATCGGTTTTATCGTTGTTTCCTTGGATCATTTCCTGCACTATTCTCTGCTGACACTGGATCCCTGTCTCTTGTTTTCTTTTTCTTTTATTTTGTTTCATTTTTTGTTTTTTGGCCACTTTCCCTTGTTTCACTTTTTTATTATGATTATTATTAATCTTTTTTCTAATGCTAACAGATGCTTAGTTCAAATTTAGAGTTGGTGAGTTGCAACACTACTGGAGATGATTAACACTGATCCCATGGCAAGTGATTTGAATTTAATGAAAGATGAGATCCATAGCCTTTAAGTTAAGTTCAGGGCCTTTGTGTTAGTGTTAGCTTGGGCATTTTACCATCTCATCCCCGTGTTCTATCTTAACTCATTATTTAAGTTTAGGATTACTTGAATTTGAGTTGAACTCGAGCTGTTTAGAGCAGTCTTATAAGCCGTGCTAGAGCTCTAGGCCAAATTAGTGGCTTTTATCTAGTCTTGTATTACAATTTGCAAATTCATGTTGACACTAAATTTTAGCCCAACTCATGATTATGCACACTAGAAATCACTTTAAAGAAGTTTTAACACGAATAAATCGTGTGGAATTATAAGCATATGTTACAAAGAGCTTTAGAATTATGCAGCATCTGAATTTAGTCCCCAAGACGTAGTATTACAGAGTTTGGTTGATGGTTAGTGCTTGAAAAAGCAATAAGGCAACCATAGACAGTAAAGGACAAAGCAAATTGACAAGGGAGATCTTGTAGAAAATGCAATGTACCATGCAGATGTCATTTCATTTCGTCAGTCCGCATTGCAGCATCAAGATGACTAATTAACTACCTGGGATGTGAAAGAAAAAGAATCTATATTTGTTTTTCCGGACGGCTCTATAGTCTAGTATCAAAACTGTACTAGTGGTGTGGGAATTAATAAAATATAGAAAGGTAAAACTTGTCAACTAATACAGCCAAAAATTGAGCAATAGGCCACCGGGTTAAAAGGTAAAAGAAGAATACTCGCTGTTTAATAAAATAAAGTGCACCTCGGGAATATCAAGAGCACTTGGGGATATCAAGAGCACTTGAGCTATAATTGAGCGGTTCTTTTTGACAAACTCCAGAGACTTCAGCAGATGAAATATACCAATAACACTCCGCGTGGGCATTATCAAGAATGAACAAAACAATATAGATCACAATTCCGAGTGAATTTTTTGGTACAATAGAAATCTTGATATGGGTAAATGTTTTATATTTTTTGCAAAAAAATTCACTATACTTTACTTTGTTCCGTTAACTATGATACTTCAAATTAAAGCATCAAATACAAAGTAACCGTAATATATTGTATTTTTGCCAGATTCTTTTTTGTTCATTTTTTGATTACATATATTAACATTATATTTACAAAAAAATATAGATCTAATGACCTGAATCAACTCAATTTTCTCAACTTCCAGTACGATTAGGAGTGGCAATCGAGTCCAAATCGGGGTGACGGGTCGGGTTGAGACCTGAGTGTAACAGAAAACCTGTTGACCTGAACCTGACTCATCAAACCGAAACAGGTCAAGATACTTGACACAAACTCGAAAATTTCTGATTGGCGGGACGACACGAAATGATCCGAAACTTAATTTTAATTTATTAATTTATGATTGTAATTTCTAATAAAACCAATTTCGCACAAAACTAATTACATAATCAAGTAATAAAAATTTAAATAAACAATCCTAAACCAAATCTAAAATAAATCAAACATCGTAAAGGTGTTTTATCCCAAACCAAATATAAAATAAATTAAAACAGTATAAAAGTAAAAAATAATATAATACATTATTTGTCCAAATATAATAACTTTAATTTCACTCAAGTTAAATAAATTCATTTAGGATTAAGTGATAATACCTTTGGAAAAAAGTTAACTTAGTTTAGTTAGATAAAATAATTTTTATGTTTATTAAATTATTATGAATTCACAAACGGGTTATCGAGTCATATCAGATTGCAAGGCTCCATTTTTTTATTCATTTTTTGATAATGTATTAATATTGAATATACAAAAAATATATAGATTTAATAACAAGGCTCCATAACATATAGGATTGCAAAATGAGCTGAATTGGCTCTATTTTCGCAACTTCCAAAGCTCGAGTTCAACATTAATCTCGAGCTTGAGCTTGAGAAAAATAATAACGAGTGATCATTATTTTATTTGTTTAAGAAAAGATATTTATAACATAAATGAATAGTCATTTATAACAAGTAATAGAAGTAAATAACTTCAAATTATCATATGATCAAATGGAGCAAACGAACTCTACATGAAATGGGAGACGAATAATCTTGTTGTCTAGCATTTGGTAGGCATTGTCATGTTAGATGTTTGGTTTAACCAAAAATAATAATAGGGGTAAATTAGTCCAAAAAATTAAGTGTAATTGTCATGCCCAAATTAGTCCAATACATAAATTTTGTGCAAATTGAGGCGGTTATTTTTCCCAAAAATGCTATTTATTTCTTTAATATGGGTAATGCGTAAATAGCAGTTGTTTGTTAACTGTATGACCATATCGGTCAAAAATCATGGTGTATGATTAATTTAAACAAATTAGTCCAAAACTTAATTTTTTATTAGTTATGGTAAATAAAGCCAAAATTCTGCAATTTTATTAATATCTAGTTAACATAGTGTATACAATTGTTTGAATATATTATTATATAGAAGGTGTTGCATTAATGTTTGTAGATTGTAATAAAAGTAATATAAGATGGCACAAAGAGTCATTTATAAAAAGAAGAATAAAATAGTCATTTATACCATCAATTTGTTAAAATATATTCATCCAATGGAGCAAATGAACTCTGCATGAAATGAGAGGTGGTTACTGATCTTTGGATCAGTAATCTTGTTATTCAGCGTTTGGTTGGTTTTGCGTTAGATGTTTAGTTTAACAAATAAACATCAATATTTATTCTATCAATAATAGCATGAGATGGAATTACTTACTTGAGAATTGCAAAATTGCTTTTTGGTACAATGCAAATCTTGACAACGATCTTGAGCTCTATCAACTTTCATTTTAAAACTCGAGTTCAACATTAATCTATGATAGTTTGAGCCTAGTTGAGCTCGAGAAAAATAATAGCAAGTGATCATTATTTTATTTGTTTAAAAAAAAGTTATTTACTTCTATTATTTTAATATGGGTAAATATTCATTTATAACATAAATGAATAGTCATTTATAACATAAATGAATAGTCATTTATAACAAGTAGTAGAAGCAAATAACTTCAAATTATCATATGATCCAATGGAGCAAACGAACTCTCCGTGAAATGAGAGATGATTACTCATCTTTGGATGAGTAATCCTATTGTCCAGCGTTTGGTTGGCAGTGTCAAGTTAGATGTTTGATTTAACAAAAAAAAAAAAGGAGTAAATTAGTCCAAAAAATTAATTTAAATTGTCATACCCAAATTACTCCAATACATAAATTTTGTACAAATTGGGATGGGTTTTTTGCCCAAAAATGTTAATTATTTCTTTAATATGGGTAAATGCATAAACAGTAGCGGTTTGCTAATTGTATGCCCATATCGGTCCAATATCATGGTGTATGATTAATTTAGACAAATGAGTCTAAAAATTAATTATTTATTAGCTATCATAAATAAATCCAAAATGTTGCAATTTTATTAATATGCAACAAACATAGTTAACTACATATTAATGATACGATCTTGTATTAATGTTTGTAGATTGTAATTAAAGTAATATAAGACCATATCGGATTGATGAAATGGACGGAATCCAAACGTGTACAATTCATTAGGGGAAAAAATTGGCACAAATGCATGAGATGGAATTCTATTTCAAACAAGGAAAGTTTTCACAGTTGCCGCACTTTCACTTCTCGCCAACATGCCGATGTGTGGTGGGAACCGTGAATTTGAGGGACAGTAGTTAGTCTCCTATAGGCTTGTGCTTGGTGCAGCCTCCGTTTTCAATGCCGATACCACCATCCCTCTACTCAAAGTCTATGTATTAGACAAAATTGTAAAAGTCAATGCCGTTAATCTCCTATAGGCTTGTACTCTATCCGAAAACAAGTTTCGCAATTTGTTCTAAAGTCGGGTTTTGCCTCCCTCTGTCTATTTTGAAGATTTTTCCATTTTGGATTGCGCTCTCTTTCACACGAGCACACCCATTTTCTATATTTCACAATCTCACTGTCAAACATCTTGAAATCACTTTTGCGGATGCTAAACCCAATTGCTCTTGCGTATGTGTTATAAAATAGCTTGGCATGTGACTCGGACGGAAATGTCATTTTCATCACTTCATCACTCTCAATGTCATCCACGCAAAATTGATCGAAGGCGATATCAATTGCAGTGTTGACATTTTCTTCACCCCCAGTCTCTCTACTGCCATTTTCTTCCACATCTACATATGGGTCTTCTGGATATTCATTTAAATTTAACATTGATTTTCTTCCACACATGACTCCGCTATCTTCCATTTTTATTCTACAAAACAAAAGATTGACGTTATTATATACCATTCATGTACTGTTAGAATTGGTAATCAATACTCACATCCTTTTTATTACATTTCATTCCCATGTAACCAGACTTAGTACTTCAACTTCACATGATATATGAATTCAATAACATAAACACGCCACTTTTAAAACTTCACTTCTTCCACAAAATTCATAATTAAATTAATTATACAAAAGAATGTAATACATGTCATTCCTTTTTTTTTTTCTTTCAAAAGATATTAATTAAATCTTTAAACTTAGTCCTACCAAAGAAAAAACAATGGAGTAGCAGGAAAAAAACATTGACTAATTTATGGCTCCAGAATCAGTAATAGGATTTAAAGTCTTAAAAGAGACTTTTATGTTAATTATCCACCATTTTCTCCCACTACCTTACTTACAATAAAAGTCATAAGTGGACGAAAACAGTTTACTATTTCATCTGGACACAAACTCATTCACAATTTGGTTGGTTAATTTCTTCCAATGCTTTCTCCCTGATAATTTATTCCGATTCTTTCTTCCAAATTTACATACATGAAAACTATGTCCTTACATAGTTTTTATTGTCTATCACATTCCTCTGTTAATATTTTAAATTATTATTATGACATCAAATCCATGTCCTTAACGGAATCAATAGTCAAATAGTGACCCAAAACTTAGTGAAAATAATTAAACAAAAAATTAGTTGCGTAAAAATTGACTATTTTGTACTTCATAAAAATTAATCAAACAAAGAGATGCATATCCCACCGCATAATGCAAGACCCACATATAACATTTTCCTCTAACATTAGTAATTTATCTAATTATTTGAAAAACATAAACATGGTCTTTATCAAAATTTAATAAATATTACTTACCTTCTTTTCAATTTTGGGAGGTTTGCTTTGTTGATTTTCCACCATTTTTTCTTCCATATACATTGTGATGGATCCTTGCCATTCTTGAATAATTTATAGTATAGGTTCAAAGTAATGCCATTTATTATCCCCAACAACCATTTTAATTCATTAAATTTTTAATAACTCATTTCCAAACGCTTGAGTGGCTGTTGGTGAAAGCATTGAATGCAACTTGGACAGTAAACTTTGGAACTAATCCTCGGACAATCTAGTTGTGGTACAACTAAATTGAATTTTGTCTGATACAAATTCGTTGGGAAGACCATAAATTCTTAGGACGTGGATAGGGATGATAATGGGGCGGGGGTGGTGCGGGGGATCCTTCCCCCATCCCCCGCCCCGTTGTCAAATAACTCCCCCCGTCCCCCGTCCCCTTGCCCCCCACCCCCCGCCCCGCCCCCGCCCCCGCTCCGTTTCCCCCGCGGTCCCCGTGAGAAATGGATAACCTTCTACAATTCATAATCCTCAGCTTAGCTGTAAATGAAGAACTAAGATGTGAAAAATTAAAAAAAGAAAATATCACCTATGAAATAATGAGGGATATTAACTGAACCAACAAAGGCCGAGCAAACTGAAGAGGCACAGAGCATTGCAGTTTTGGGTAGACAATACAGATTCTCATTTTGCAAACACATCAAGAGCTTACCTCTGAGATTACCAATAAAGCAATCATAGAAAGCTCTCTAATAGCCCAAAAGTTTTAAGACTTTAGTCCATCAATCAGCTGAAGAAAACCACTGCATACAGAAAACACTACTCTTATCAAGATGCTCCAAAACGTCTGCTAACACATTCATAGGCCATAATTCCTAAAAAGGTAAATGGAGGTAGAGTAATACCATATCTTTACGATATATGTGAAACAAGATATAGATTTTTAATCTGAATAAAGCCTTAACTGATACCTCCATTTCATTCACGCATTTTCACAAACAGATTACAAGCACACACAAAAAGTTTCATCCTCTTTCAACTATGAGATTGAAGTGGACCATAAAATTTCCAACGCAACCAAAATTTCAGTCATCTAAGAACGTAAATGCAAGCAAATTAGCAGGAGAGGGGAAAAAGAAAGAGAGAGAGAGCATGAATTTCATTTAGTACCAGTTGAAGTTTGAAAGGAGGGGAAAAATGAATTTAGAGATTTCGAGTGACTGAGACTGATTACTGATTAGAATTGAGGGGAATGGGACTATGGGAGGCGACGGCGGTGGCTGGCTGCGATTCTGCGAAGGAGGAAATGGAGGAACTAAGAGGGAAATGGGAATGGCCGAATGGGGGATAATTAGATTTAGAGGTTTTGTACTTTTGTGTATTTAATATTTATATGTATATATATATATATATATATTTTTTTTTTTTTTTTTGTGCGGGGGATGGGGCGGGGGTATATTGCCCCATCCCCCACCCCGTTTTAAGGCGGGGGTAAATATTTTGCCCCCGCCCCCGCCCCATTTGTACCCCCGCGGGACGGGCACTCGCGGGCACCCGCTCCCATTGCCATCCCTAAACGTGGACGGTAGAATACAAGAATATGTCCTTTTGTTTCTTTAAGCCAAACCCCACTTCTCTCATTTTTTAATACACATGTTCCCGGTTATGCATCTACAACAACCGGTCGTGACCCAAGGCAGAAATAGGATATTCTATATCAACACTTATTTTCATCGATCATTACAATTATCATTTGTTGAGATGTCACTTCCACATTGGACAATGATGAATACTACACGTCTAGTATTTCTCTCAATACTAGATTGCAGATGGATCCTTGTTTTTCCAACTTTGAGATGATTGGTATATCAAATATGCGAATTATGTGATACCTGCGCCTTGGTGGTCGCAGGTGCTTATACCTCAAATAGCAAAACTTCATCTAATCATGGTGATTTGAACCTTAAAATCCGTATCTTTCATTTCAACAACCCTTGTGAAATGAATCCAATGTGGATGGATGAAAAGGATAATGACTAATCACACAAGATCACCTGGACCGTTTAAAAATCTAGGGAAACGAAAAAGAAACAAGAAAAATACCAAGAAAATACCTATTTTGGGGAAATCTAAATTATTCACTCAAAAACAGTGCAGACATAAAGTCGCTTATTAGTAGTAATTAAACCATTCAAATACGACATAAATAAATACTGAGATGCAACAAAAACTACGTGCCATTTGAAGTTTAATTTCTTTATGGGTTTTTCTAATAGGTGTTTAATAGATACTTGTTAACATATCTAAATTTCATTTAACTTATCAGATATATATACGCATACTAACAATTATTATCGTCATTTACATTTATACACATTATTTAATTAATCTTACTTTTCAAAAAATCTAACAATTGAAGTAACGCACTCGTTAGACGAACCATTTCTTTATTAATAGTAGAAATCAAATGCTTTTAATCCATTCCTTACTTAGCAACAAATATCAAATTAAAACAACAAATACTAAGCAAACGTTATTGTGTACTAGTAGATTGCACACCTACCAAATAGGAAGGACAAGAAATAAAAATTTTAAAAAAAAAGAGGGATAGAGAGAGAAAATTTTCCAGACAACTAATTTTATTATTCTTAGAAGCCCATATGGTAACCTGAAGCCCAAGCCCAATAGAAGCAATCCATCCCATAAAAACCTCTGCCGAGATCTCCTTCCCGCTCTTTGGCGGGAAACCTTTCGTCTTCTGAGTTCTGAGCATCAGTCCGTCAGCATATGATGATGCTATGACGAAATTTTCAGAAATAACATCTCTTTTTTCCTCGCTTGCTTCGAATGCAGGAGCCCTAGATCCAACGGCTACAAATGAAGATGATGAAGATCTCGCCATCACGATCTCCAATCTGAATCGCTCTCTCAACCTGAGCGAAACTCAACCTAGCACCAGAGTTCTGGACACTGCGCTCTCTCTCATGTGCTTCACTGCTCCGCAGGTCCTCTCTAAACTCAATCAACAACTTTTTCAACGTTTTCCCCTTCGTATTTTAGTTTTTTATTTTAAATATACTGTCTTTTATTTGTTAGGTTTTCCAATCGGTGTTTGATTGCACGGTAAAGACGATCGTCGCAGTTCTGTCGTCTTCTATCGAATGTAAGGTTATTAAAATTGGTAAAAATGAGGTCTTGCGAGTTGGCGGATCGATTTGTAGGCAAGACTGCGCGGAAATTATAGAAGCATGTGTTGATGTTTTGGAAAAACTGGAAGGACATCGAGGTATTTTTGGACGTTCTTTCTATTCTAAATTTGCTTTTCTGTGATATATTCTTTTTGTTTTGGTGCATTCTCTGAAGAATATTAGCTTCACGTTTTTGTTGTATTTCAATTTTGTAGCTTTCAACACTACTTAAAAATGCTGTGATGGCTAGTTTTAGATGATATGGCAAAAAAATTACTACTAGTAAATAATAAAAGATGCCAAGTGTACTCGCATTTCAAGGATAGAAATGGCTATGATGGGTACATTTTGGACTTGCAAAAATGTTAAGTAGGACACCTTCAAATGGTTGGGCGGAGGGAGTAATGGTCTGAGAACTTACTTTAATCTATAATGCTGATCTGAAATTGGCATTAACCATTGAACTAATATTAGTGTTTGAAATTGATATACTAGCCTACATTGTTCGTCTTTTTCATCTTGTAGGAGATCTTTCTCTCTCAATGGTACATGCTGCATTACACATGGTGGTACTGGCTTCACGCTTTAAGTACACTTTGGAATCAAGTGCTGTTCTTGATGTTAAAACAGTTGATGGATGGAAACTTTCTTTTCAAAAGCTACTTGCCCATGTGCCAAAAGAAAGTTGTATGAGCAGAGATATGCCAGTAAGGTGGGTGGTCTGGACTTTGGAATTCCATATAGCAATCTGAGGGTCTCTATGTTTTACAGCCAATGTGTTGCCTTAAAGTGTGCTATTCACTTCAATGTCCTGAATATTTTATGTTCCTTCTCTTTTGTGATTAATTTTTATCCAGTTGACATACTCGAGAATGCTGATTTTTATCCCCATCACATACTTGAGAATGCTGATTAATACTTCTCTAATTGACGTACTTGCGAATGCTGATTTGAAGACAGAACTTTTTGTAGTTATTTTGTAGATCACCAATTTGCCATTTCAGGTTGAAGCTGTAACTTTTTTTAGTTATTTTGATTCTTGGACATGCGAGATATGTTTACTTACATGATCTTCTTTCTCATATGATATTATAAGTAACATCTTCTCTCTTTGTTCATTTGTTCATAGTGTCCAAAACTTTTTATATCTTTTTATGTGGTGAAGTGGTGTAGATGTGAAAATGTGGACTGTGAAATGTAAATGCTTGAATTAAGAAGATGGCTGGACATCTGAAATCACCATGTTATCTTGGTTGATTCCCCAATGAGCTTAGAGGACCTCTATGGTTTGTAATTTCTTGAACAGTTTGCTCGTCTCAATATGTCATGCGCAGATTGTTTCATATCTTGCATTAACCAATACCTTTGCAGGTTGCTGTGTTGGTATCTTGATCCTGCCCTTCTAAAACATAATATGTCGCAAATCTTGCAAGAGGTCAATAAAAGACCTTTTCTTTGCCTGAGTATGGCCTTCAGTGAGATGACAGAATGGCATTCCATACTGATATCCTTGACGCTTGCTCCAGCTCTTTTCATTGAGGCTAGGGCCCTATTGCATAATTGGTATCTACTAACGTGAGTTCCTAGTCACAAATTTCATGAACTCTGTTGTCTACAATAGGTCTGATGTTTTGACTACTTGATATTGAAGTTTAGCAGACTCTGGGTTCACACCCTTTGCTTGGGGTTTTACGCTTTCTGGTGTCTGTCATGATGGCTTTTTGTTATTTTTGATCTTCACGTGCTAGAATTTTGAACTATTGCTATTTGCAGCAACCTGTTTATGCTTGGTCAGAAAAGAATAAGCTTCTTTATTTTCACATGAATTGATGTCTCTGCTCCCTCACTTGGTAGGATTCAATGACAGGGGTTTGGCTTCTGTGTTGAGGCTTCAGATTCAGTTGGTTTCACTGGTTCTAGACATAGTCTCCAGACCAATGTCGTGGGGCTTATCAATGGAGACTGGGTCCAAAATGCCATTTTGTGATGCATATTTCCCGTACAAGCAAAAATCTATAAGAATTTTGGCTGGACCTCTGTCGTGGGAAAATTTTCAGCAGCTAGTTCAGAAGATAAGCAGATTGGTTTCTCAGGGGGGAAAAGACTATAATGGAAGTTCTGAGCAAGGGGTGTTGAAGATGGAACTGACTGGTGGATCATAAATCTCTATGGTATGGTTTTGCTATATGGCCCACGTCTTTTGATTCCCCAGTTTTTTTATGCAAAGAAACTTATGTTTTTTCTCCTCCACAACAGGGCTATTGCTATAAACTTCCCTGATTGGTTCTTGTTTGCCTGTCTACTACTCTTCTCTGCTCCAGACTTTCAGGGCATTTCCCATTTAAAGTACATGATACACTCCACTGATAAATCATATGATGAGGAAGTGCCTTATTGCGCTGCTGCAGCGAGCTATATTGCATGGATATTGGACCCTGTTACCGAATCTAATCAAGACTTGCTAGTTGATTATTTGAACAAACTATCAGGATTATGGACTTCAAAGCGCTTTAGCTCAGGTAAATGCTACCAGGCATCACGGGGCTGCAAGGAAGAAAGTGAAATTGAATTGGTTTGTCTTGAAAACAGAATCCTCAAATATGACAATCATTCAAATTGGATCTGGTTGAAGGAATTTCATGACGTGTGCGTTAGATATTGCAGACAAGTTACTGGTTTTGCATCTGTAGCAGCACAAATATCACAAGGAGATTGCAGCCAGCAAAGTAGATTAATTAGGATGATCCCATTAGGCATTTTGATTGGATTCCTTGATTCTGTAGATGAGGTAGGATGTGAATTATTTTTGCATTATGCTGCAACTGGTACTATCTTAAAATGGACAGAAACACAAATTCATGGACGGAAGCAAAACGGAAGGATCTGTGAATGGCAGGAAGAGTCAACTACGTGGAGTCAAACATGTACGGCAGAAGAGGCTGTAGCTGGAGCCTCTGTTGTCTTTGATCTAACTGATGTAACTGAGAAGATGTCAGCTTCTTTATTTGAAAATGAGGAGAGGGGGTTAAAGTTTATTCATGGCATGAAACTGAAGGTTGGAAATTATCTCCTCAAGTGCGTCAAGAGGCTTCTCCATTTTAAAGCTGATGAAGCAGCAAAACTTTTAATGTATAGGGACCTCGTCCATAGCTTAGTACGGTGGGAACGTCAAGGACAAGATCCCCAAGACTACAAGGACCTGGAGGATGTCATCGACGCCTTGAAAGGTGCATCAGCTTTCTTGTGAGGAGATTGTGTAAAGAAGAAAATTTCCTCCTGCAAATTAGAAAAGAATCATTGGCCTGATTGGATAATAATGTTTAACTTTGTACGAGTGCAGTATAAGTACATGCTGTTGCAGCAAATGTAGTACGCAACCTATTGGGAGCAAATTGTTCCCCGTATTTTTTACCTTGATGCTTTTTTGCACGAATATATCCTGAATTTGTTCTCCGAGCTTTTTAAAATCTACTAGTAATATCTTATGTACTTTGCATGTGATTATTTTATTCCAAAAAAGAAATATTTTGGGTGTGATTGTATTAGCCCAAAAAAGTGATATGTTTTGGTATTAAAGTATTGAAAAAATTGCACCAATCATTTCTCACATATTATTGATGTGATATTTTAGTAGTTCCTTAGAATCAAAATGATCGATTTTGGTCCCTAATAAACAGAAGAGGCTCGCTTTTGGTTGTTGGTCAACTTCTTGCTGGAATTTTTGCTAGAAATTGAGTCCATCGATTGAGGATTATTGGGTTCAGATTTATCATGGATTTTGATCTTAAGGATCTTTTAGATCATCATTGGATGTAATTTGATTGCAACTCTGTTTGAGTCTTGTGGAGAAAATAGAGTCGAAAATTTGGAGTTTTGGATTTCTTGTTTGATTCTTTGGTTTGTGTCTAGGTGACGATTTTTATTTGATTTGAAGTTTGGAACATGTTTGAAATGATTTGGAAACTTGATCAATGCCAAAATAAAGTTGTAAAATTTGTCGAAATAACCTTTGGACGAGTTAGGTTTGAAAGTTTGCAAAACTCAACAGTGAAGATGATAGGATCCGACATCATCCAATTAAAATTCAACCAGAAAATTGACTAGGTATCAAATGAGAACGTTTTATATTTGTTAAAAACTAAAACCACTCATTATAATTTTGAATGAATAAAATTTCATATCAATAATATGTGAGTGGCGATTAATATAATTTTTGCTAAAATATTTTGACAAATTACCGTGATAAATTATTTTTTCTTTTTCCTTGAAAATATTTATCTACATTGAAACTTTGGATATAATATTTGTTAAAAAGCTTATGGTCCCACAAAACACATTGCCAATTATTTTTGCTCAATCTCTCTGAAGGATTCCGGCTTAGTAACAAGTTTGCAAGCCGGCGTTTGATTAGCAACTGCACAACCATGTACAGCATATTAACTAGCAAATCGTATTCAGGGCCATGCAGCTTCTCAACGAAATCACAAGGCGTATCGGCATGGCGTAGCAGCACATTAAAAAAAAAAAAAACAAAGATAATAAATATGTCATGATAATACGAGAAGAATAGCAACAAGGCTGTGTTGGAAACTTTTCAAAATTTGTATGATGTACAAACATGTAATTAATGTATATTCATTAACGGTTTTGGTACATGTATAGTGCTGTGAATGTTTCTAAAATGTACATTCATTTATGAATGTATTCATGTATATAGGAATTCTTGAATGAAAGGATAGATTCATGTTTGATCTTAAAGATCATGAGATGCATGAATTAAAATGCATGAATGTGTACACAATACTTTGAATCTATTCATATAAGTATTTAATGAGTCCTTTTGTTTCCCAAACAATCTTCCTATATAAAGAGGTCAAGTAGAGAATGGTTTGCTGCAGAAAATCACTTTCCTACTATTCTATACTCTCTCAAAAAGCACTCTTTAGTTCACAAAGGGTTTGTCTTGCTTTGTGCAAAAGTTTAAAACAAACAAATTTCATCTTATCCTAAAGGATGTTTATCCAAGGTTATTGCACGTTATACCGGACAAATAAAGCCTAAAGAAAAGTGATATCTATCACGATTTGAAGCCGATTATTGTTACAATATTTGCCAGTTCTTTGAAAATTTTCCCACAGGCTGTTTTCATATCAATACATTACGCATAGCAAGAAGGCTGTTGTCAGATCAGTACATTTTACAGTGACAGGCCAATCAGGCTTTGCTACTGAGATAAGCACACAGGATTGCTCAAAACAAAAAGGCTTAAAGAAGATATGCACTAGTCGCAGTTTTATCAGAAAACCAGATATGGGGGGGGGCTATGCATTGATTTTCAGTGCATGTCATCTGCATACATCAGGCTTATTTGGAGTTGCCTCCAATCGGACAGACATGCTAATGAGATACATATGCGGGACTTCTCATAATTCTAAAACTTAAAAAAGATGTGTACACAGGAGATGTACTATTCCCCGTTGTATAAAAATATCTGAAGAGAGCTAGCTATCCTTTGTTTGCAGAGTGTATGCCGTTTACATACATCATGCTAATTTGCAGTCGGGTCGAGAGTGTGAATTATTCACAGTGAATGATGCCTATACAGTTCTTCATTCGTGACACCAAATTGGAGCCTTCGTATATCCCAGCATTGGATTGGATACCAAGTCACCTTGTCCTTTTAACCAAATACAACCAAGTTGAATCACCACCCCATTCTTCGAACACAACCAAAAGATTTCCACTTGGCTGCAGCCAAGAACGAGGAATATGGTACCTAAAATTTAGAGTGTCATCAGAAGTTATCGCATTGCTTACACAATCTATAATCTAATTGCTGAAATTATTAATTACCATCTCTGAGAAGGTTTTCCACAATGCATCTGGCATTTCTTCTCTGAGAAAGTCCCGGCATAATTACAGCCACCACAGTTGCCATTTGCAATATTTGCCGGCCAGTGCCTTCCAATGCTTTGACCATTTACCCACACTTCTCCTTTCCCCATACTGCCCATATCTAAAGCTATTGGATCGTTTCCCGGGGGTGCGTCGAATGTAGTCTGAATGGAAGTGTACATTGTTTGAATTAATAAACGAAATTTTAGCAGGAAATGTCTCAATTATAATTTTGAGGAAGTGATTAGGGCATCATCAGAACACATTTAACTTGTGCCAGTCAAACCACCAAAAAATAAGGGTAAACACAATTACCTTGTACCATGTCAGAGGCTGCTTGTTAGCCAACAATGATCCTTCTGCCCATTCGACAGAGGCACTTCCCGTGACAGTATGGAGACTTTGAGCTTCACCTTTCAAACCAACCTGATAATGAACAGCCAAATAAGTGTTGCTCCATGAGCGTGCATTCTGGCAATCTCTTGAAAGAAATAGCCATTTGAAAGACTTGCTATTGCAAACACGCCCAAATCAATGAACTTTCAACTTATTAATTCACTTTGTTAATTAACAGTTTAGTATTGCTATGATGCCGGAAGTGATAACGAAAAACTGCTTTTGTTTCTTCTTTTTCTTCCAAGGCTTTTGTTACTTGTCGATATGGGAGCTAATCATGCAACTGAAGTTCTAGAATTTTTCTTCCTCTTTTGGTAACTCACAATATGGAGTAAAAACAAAGGCAAATACTAATGAACCTTGTATGTCCATCTCTGCTTTGTCAGGTCTCTTGTGCCCTCATTTAGACCCTTCAAGGTTATTGGACCCAGAACACCTGTATTCCAGGTTTCAAAATGCACCCCAACATTCTGAAATACGATGAAAAATGCAATTAGTACGCTTGAAGAAAGCTTAACCAAATGCAATTAGTGATAATATTTAGGAAGCGTGTGGACATTATCAACTGCAAACTAACCGCTAATCCCACTGCAACACTAAGTAAAGAAATCTTGTTGACACCAGCTCTAAGTTTTACATTGCTACTGTATGTGAGTTTTGGATTGTCCAATGAACCATACACCGTCCCTAAAAACAGACCCGTTAAGTATTAGCATAAGAACATGACGAAAAGTGAGTAGAAATGTACAGAATGTCAAGGCAGAACTTGGTAATTTGCAAACACTATGGAAATCTAACTACCTGAAAGTTGACCATTAATGAAAACATGCAAGGCATGGCCAGCTGACATAACAGTGAAAAGGGGGTCCTGTCCACTCTTCAGGAATCCTTCATTGGATGCAATATTCACGCTGGAGAATCAAAAGAGGCAAGCAGGGACGGGTTAAAAGGAAGACTGAAAGTGATACTGAGATCTAGATACAGGATTTACAAAATGCTTTAAAGAACTCATTAGATAATATACACTCACTCTGTCAGGTACCACAAATAGTCCGAGGAATCTCTTGTCACGTTCAATTGCTCCCACAATCCATTCATTACAAGCACATCACTGTCGTCTGCAGAGGGTGTTTCATCAGTGTACGACTGCCATGATAATTTACCACCCACAGGTGTCATCAATGGCTCTGAGCTTGGGGAATTAACCTGCAAAAGACCATACACTGGTGTTGCTTAGGTTTAATTGTTGCCTAAAGCTACGAAATTTGAATGCATAGAAAAAGATTAAATTTTGGTCAGAAAACGGGGAGAATAAACATTAGAACGACCAGATAGGAATATTTACACGTGTGTCAAATCTCCCTCCTTCATGACTAATGGAAGAAAACAATTGCTGTTCACCTTAGAGAGCTATTTCCTTACCTTTGCAGTATTGTAGACTACGGTCTTGCAGTCTGGAAGAATACTGACAGACCAGGGTGGCAGGTCATATGGAAGATTTTGGAAGCTCACTCTCACTGAGTATGTTGGGTCATAGTTAGAAAGGAAAGCAGCACAAGCTCCAGATCTTGATTTAAACACATGAGCCTAAACAAGTTTATGGAAGCATAGTCAGATTCAGAAAGTAAGAGGTGATAACACCAATAAAATTGCTGATGTTGTCAACCAACTGGAATCAATTTACCTCTTGATTCTTCCCGAGCCAGATAACTGTGGGATACGTTGAAACCATAGCTGGTTCGCATTGTTTGATGGCCTTATGCAGATCTCTCAAGTGCCCCCATTTTGGTTCATTCAGTAGCCCTAGTAAATTAACCACAACATATATGAAAAGTTGTATTCAAGTTCTGAAGAGACAGGCAGTCATATTGAGAGCTGCACTTTTGCTGCGAGAGACATCCGATGTTGCACGAAACGGTCATTCATCCTTTTTGATCATCATATGCCATTTTATGTGCAGTTTACAAAATATCGAAGATTTAAAGTTGGTATGATACTGAAACGTACCATATTCATCAATTGGAGCATCATAGTCATAGCTAGTGGCAACAAACAGACCAGAAGCAGTCCGGCCAAAATTTGTTCCTCCGTGATACTGCGGCCACCAATGCAAAAACACAAAATACACAGACATTTCAAAACATATTAAGCTAATTACCTAAATCATATAAAGGCAGTGGGCTAGAATTTCTTTCCCAATATGCATTTAAGATTTGACTAACCATATAGTAGTTGAAAAATGAACCATTGTTTTGGATAAACCTTGCAACTGCATATGCCAAGTCCTCTGCTGGTCGATGGAGATTTGGTCCTCCATATTGTGTATACCTGGGATATAGTAGGAGGGACATCAGAAGGTTTCTTAACTTCTAATTAGCACGAAAACCTAGAGAACAGCAGGAATGGATAAAAAGGGAATTTTCTTTTCTTTTTTTTTTTCGAGTGACTCACCAGCCAGTCCAGATTTCAGTAAACATTTTTGGTTTGTAAGGCTTGTTTGGAACAAAACCTTCACAGTAGAAGCCATTGCAAGCGTCTATCTGCAATATAATAGAAAGAGTATGAGAAGCTTGAGAACAGAAAATGGAACACTTTTGCAGATTCACCTTCAAGAGAAGAGCTGGAACAGAAAGACATCGAATTCAGCAGCCGAATACAAAATTCATTTTCAGATTAATAGATTTGTCCGACATATTTGTGGGCATTAATTTATTTCCCTCGGTAAGATCAGCCAAATCTGTTCAGCCAAACCTAATGGGTCAAATATCAAGCATATAACCAAACATCCAAACTCTACTGATTGAAGATAATCTTTCCAAGGACAAAATAAACAAAACCAAAAGCTTTAGGAACCATTTGGGCCCTATATCACCCTAATAAACTCGGGAAAAAAGGGCAAAAAAAGAGGTGGTAGAAAGAATTGCTTACAACAGGATCAGGGGCATCATCATCTTGCATGCACATGACCCATGGAACACCAGTGTTTTGAGCAACAGCCATTTGTGCCGCCCATTTGGTATATGCTTTACCTGGAGCTCCGATCTCCCACTCAACTGGGCCATACTCGTTCTCTATCTGGAAACATGCAAATATCCCAAATAAATCCTAAGAATTGGTTGCAACAGACCTTGTAATAAACGAAAAACCACGAATGAAACAGAACCCATACCCATCTAGAAACACGGAAACAGACAAAAAAAAAAAAAAAAAGATCACAAGTATTTATTTTCCAACCTGGGACATAATAATTGGTCCTCCCTGAGGCTCGAACAAATTTTCTGACTTCATCAAGTTGACAATTTTCGTAACAAATCCTTGCATTGCCGCCTTCGTCATGGTCAAAAAGTAAATTTCAGAAGTCAAACTAAAACCGAACCATAAAACACAGCCATTGGTGGATTTAAAAAGGGTCCCTTCTGTAGTTGAGTTAGTACCTTAAAAGGCCCGTTGTCTGTCCTAAATTCCATGCCGGGCACGTATTTTAGCCAGACCGGGAAACCCCTGCATCATTAAAACAGAGAAGAAACAGAGGGATTCAATACCAAAACCAATACCCATACATTTCTATTACTAGTACAGTATTACTTCCCATTTCAACATTAATAAAAGAAATTTAAGATATATGTGAACGTATGAATGTAGTAGATAGTTATTTATGTGCATTACCCAAAGTTCCATTCTGCACAAATGTAGGGGCCAATGCGAAGATGGGCGTAAAGACCAGCAGCTTTTACTAGCTTGAGAAATCTGACGATATCGCCCCTGCCCTCAAAATTATACTGCAGAAATACAAATTCGAGATAAATATAGATTACAGGAAGGAACCTTTAATTTTCAGATAGAAATGATCATTGATCAAGAAAAAAGTGGATTGGAAATTCAAGAATACCTTTCCAGGAGAAGGCTCGTGCACATTCCAAAATACGTAAGTTTGTATCACGTCCAAGCCTCCGTCTTTAGCCTTCTGTATAAGATCAGGCCACATCTGTATCCCACCCCAAGTAAATAAGTTGAAAAAGAAAAAAGACTCATCAGAAGAAATTCATCACTAAAGCATGCATACTCGAAAAGAAAAAAACAGGGGATATTCATATTGGCGATTGTTACCTCAGGAGTGCTTCTGGGATAATGAATGGAGCCAGAAATAAGAATTTTTCTCTGGCCATTAATGATGAATGACCTGCCATCATAAGAGACTTTGGCTCTAACTGTACAGCTAAGAAATGATACCAGAACTATGATCAACAACAAAATGTTGGTTCTCAACATTTTCCTAATTGAGCCCCGGAATTCTCCTATTCTCTTTTTTCAGAGCCTCAAATCTCAAAGCCAAATGGGGTCCTTTTTGTCCTTGAGTTCTTCGCTTTTTACGTTCTTAAAATTTTGCCTTTTGTCGGTACTAAAATACAAAAGAACAACAAAAGAAGCTGATAAAATAGAGGGAAATAACAAGCAGCCTATGTCCCGCCTCCTTTTCCTTTCCTAATCTTTCTCTGGTGCTTCTTTTGAGAATGAGGTGTTTATTCTATATTGATTGATAGTATCCTGTGGAGATGGTTTTGGCATTTATGGAGCCAAGGGTGGCAGGCAGCCTGCAAGCACGAATTTGGCTTTGAAATAGAATTTGATTTTTAAGCATGAAAGCTTTGGAGGCCTGCTAATGGCTATTTATACAAGTAAAGAGCTAAAGATTGGAGGGAAGTGGGACGCATTGTTGGGGGATTGGGTGGGGAGGTCGGTTGGGGATCTATCTTTTCTGCTTAGAAATTCACGCTAATTCAAGCAAGCACATTTGATTATGTGACTCGGAGTTTTTGATAAGATGCTACTCAATTGTGAGTCATTTTGGACAATCTTTTTGACTCTTGCCTTTGAAAAGACTAAAAATATATCCCATATCAGGATAAGGAGAAAGGATCCTTTGGGGTGGTTTTGTTCGTTACATTTTTAACTTGAGGTGTAGAATGAAGGAAGACCTGTCGTCTTGTACTAGTTTTATGGCTGCGATTGAGGAAACGAAAAGAAAATGGAATTCCGTAGTTTCTGATGCTTTACACATAGGTGCGGAAAATGGAGAAGCGTAACATCGTTTTAGCTTTTGTGAAAGGAAGCTACAGGGGACGTACGCTTGATACTACTAACTAGAAGTCTTAATTAGCTTCAAATTTCTTCCAGTTGGTCGAATAATAATTATTGTGAGTATTGTTTTAGGGTCAATATTGAAAATTGACAAATAAAAACTGGATGGATGTTTGGTCGAATTCCGGATAGAAATTACGGCTCTCCACTTGCACAACTTGTTTTCGCTTTCAATAATTCACAGGTATTGATGGATGAACTTGTTTTTTCACTTTCAATAATTCACGGTTATTGATGGACGAGTGACAATTATTTTGAAAAATAATCTTTTATATAGTGCAAGATTTACTAAAAAATGATGGATACTTTCTCGAGTTTTGTTTGAAAGACTAGCATAGATTTGCGTAGGCTTCAGTTATTAGTCCCATATCAACTTCAAAAAAGGTATTAATAATAGGCACAAAGAATAAATATTGCATCTCCTGATCATCTTGAAATTTTACCCATCTGAAGCCCAAATTAACTACTACTGAAAAAAAATTCGACAGTTTTATTTTGGCTTCTTCTTTCTTTTCATTGAGGTATAGCATTAAAGATTCCAAAATGACCAAATTCTCGTTCTTTTTTCTTTTTCTTTTCGGGAGTGTGTTCAAAACTTGAAAGACATGTGTTGGTTTGTTACTTGTTGTGGTTGATGAATTATGGAACCAGACTTGGCTCGAAAGAAAAAGTCAACCAAGAAGACACACCACAGCACTGTAGTTTGGACTTTTTGGTTTGAAAACAAAGCGTAAAAGAGATTTTTTTTTTTTTTTTTTTGAAAAAAAGGGACAAAAGGAGGAGATCGCTTCGAGACAGAGAGCAAAGAGGTTAAGTAAAGGGTTTGGAGTTGGCTCCTCCTTTTGCACTTTTGTTTCAAATTCGTGTCTGCTTTCTTTTTTTTTTTTTTTTTTCCAAAACGGCAACATCATATTAATCACAGAATCTAATACAAGGTTAGAGCCTTCGCTCCTCCAAATCTGCCTAAGCTAGCTCCAGCAGCCATGCTGGGAAGTCACACTTCCATTCAACTATTTCTAGTAAATCTATAGCATATTTTGCTATGTGGTGACTAACAAAGTTGTTAGACCTCCTAGTGAAGGAAAAACAACATTTATAAAATTCAGTTCTTAACCGCCATATGTCTGCCAGTATAGTAGCTATGCTAGTCTCTTCCTCCTGTGCATTGATCTTGTCGACTACCATCTTACAATCTGATTCAAATTCCACCATCCTCCACCCTTCACGTTTAGCTATCACCATTGCCTCCCTAATCGCCAGAGCTTCCTCAACTTGTGCTTTTGCACATTTTGTAGTTGGGCATGCCCAAGCTCCTACCAGCATCCCATTCCTATCCCTTGCCACAATGCCCCATCTAGCTTTGCAGGTCTGCTTGTGTAGAGCTGCATCAGTATTGACTTTGATCCAGTTGCCTTGTGGCCTCTCCCAACCCCTCTTTACCTCAGCCTTTCCAAGTGTCTGTCCCACCTCCCCAGTCCTTTCTTCCTGAGCCAATTGGTACTCATTCCACTCCATTACTGCCTTGTTAACAACAGCCATTGGATCTCTACTGTTATTGTTGAAAAGCTTGTCATTCCTAGCCTTCCAGATTTGCCACAAAATATGCACAGTGAGAACAATGTGTCCTCTTCCACCCTCCCTTACCATAGCCCCTCTGAGTTCTTCCCACCAATGCCAGAAGCTGTTGGTAAAAACCTCCAATCCATCCCAGCTCAGTGGGGCAGCTTTCCATATTGCTTTAGCTGAGCTACATGTAAAAAGCATATGTTCTAGTGTCTCAGCTTGCTCACCACAGCACCTGCAGATAGGATCACCTTTATCACATTTTCCCCTTAGCACAGCATTTGTAGGTAAGATTCCCTGTAGACACTTCCAGATGAAATGTTTGAGCTGGTTCTTCATGTTCAGCTTCCAAAGAAAATTCCAGCACTGAGACTTATGTCTCCCATGACTACTTGAATCTAGCGCTTCTTTGCAGTAGCCATTCCCTCTCTTCATCTCTTTTACTTGTTTGTAACCAGATTGGACAGTATAAGCACCTGAACTAGTTTTTGTCCAATATACCCTATCTTGCTCCTTCCCCAGACTTAAAGGTATCCTTGCTATGTGAATTCTGTCGGTTTCCTCAAATTCCTGCCCCAGCATTTCCCATCTCTAATCAGCTCACAGACCCTTTGAATTTTACTACTTGGCTTCCTCTGGGATCTTATTCTCCCATCCTCAGAATCAGGCAGCCATCTATCCTCCCAAACTTTGATTGTTGCACCATCCCCCACCCTTATTCTCATCCCTTCTTCCAGTAAACCTCTAGCGCTCAGTAGACTCTTCCAGCACCAAGAATCATTCCCCCTCTGCTATGCCTCCCAAATAGACTTCCCAGGAAAATATTTTGCCTTCATTATTCTGCTCATTAGAAGATCTGGTCTCGTCTGAATCCTCCATAGCTGTTTTCCCAGTAGAGCCATATTAAAATCCTGCAAGTCCCTAAAGCCAAGTCCCCCCTCTGACTTGATATCAGTCATCCTACTCCACTTGATCCAATGAATCTTCCTCTCATCCTCCCTCTGACCCTACCAGAATCTAGCCATCTCTAAGCATATATTCCTGCATAGTTCTTTTGGCAATCTACAGCAGGACATTACATAAGCAGGAAGTGCTAGAACCATAGATTTAAGTAACACCTCCTTACCAGCTTGGCTCAGGAGCTTTTCCTTCCAACCTTTAAGTCTGTTAACAGTCTTCTGTCGAATGAAATCAAACACCTGCCTTTTTGATCTCCCTATGACTAGTGGAAGTCCTAAATACTTACTCTAGTACACCTGCTGCATCCCTTCAAGCACCTTGAGAACTTCCTCCTTCTGCCTTTCCTTTACATTCTTGCTAAAAAATACTGATGACTTCTCCTTGTTTATTAGCTGGCCTGATGCTCTTCCATATACATTCAGTACCTTCATAAGTTGAGTAGCTTCAGTAGCCTTAGCACGACAGAATATGAGTGAATCATCAGCGAAAAACAGGTGAGACAGACTAGGGGCTTCATTAGCAATCTTCATGCCTAATAGAGTACCCATTCTATTTGCCTTTCTTAACAAAGCAGAAAAACCTTCAGCACAGATCAGAAAAAGGTATGGAGAAAGGGGATCACCCTGCCTAAGCCCTCTAGTTGGCTTTATAAAACCCTTCTTATCTCCATTCATGTTTATGGAATAAGAGACACTAGATATACATTCAAGAATCCACTGAATCCATTTAGGACAGAAGCCCATTTTTTGCATAACCTTGGACAAAAACACCCACTCTACCCTATCATAAGCCTTAGACATATCAAGCTTTATAGCCATGTAGCCATTCCTGCCAGTTCGTTTATTTTTGAGGAAGTGAACACCCTCATGTGCAATAAGGACATTATCTAGGATCTGCCTTCCAGGAACAAAGGCAGATTGGGAAGAGCTAATACAAACATCCAGAACAATCTTAAGTCTATTTGCCATCACCTTGGAAATGATCTTATAAAGGACATTACAAAGACTAATAGGTCTATATTCAGTGATTCTGGATGGGCAGTCTGTTTTCATTTATGGATTTAAGAATATGACCAGAATGAAAGAAGCCACGAATAGCACTAGAAACATTCTCTCTAAGCACATGCCAAAATTTCTGATAAAAGATAGGAGACATACCATCTGGCCCTGGAGACTTGTTAGGATGCATGGAGTTAACTGCATGGCTGATCTCCTGATCTGAAACTGGTCTGGTAAGCATTCTGTTCATCTCGGCAGTAATGGTCAGTGGGATCCCTTCCAGAATCTCCTCAAACTCAGTTGGAACCTCTAAAGTAAATATTTGCTAAAAGTAGTCTACCACCTCCTCACAGATCTCCTCCTCAGCTCTACACCATTCCCCAGTCTTCCTTTGAAGCACACTGATACGATTCTACCTCCTTCTACTCATTACACTAGCATGGAAGAAACTAGTGTTCTTATCTCCCTCAGTCAGCCACTTGACCCTGGCCTTCTGACTCCAGAAAATTTCCTCCCTCTTATAAGCTTCTACTAATTGCCTCTTGAGACCTGCAATCCTGCCTCTACTATCACTGCTACTGCTCTCCCTCATCTCTTTAATCTCCCTTTTAATCTGCTCAATATTTTGCTTGGCATTCATGTTCAGTGTCCTACTCCAATTCAGCAAGTTAACTCTGACCTGCTTAATCTTACACTGTACCTTATAAAGCCTAGACCCCTGCTGGTCCCTATCCCAAGCTTCTCTCACCACATCCCTTACACCCTCTTGCATAAGCCATCTTTTATCAAACATAAATCTCCTTTTCCTTTGTTTTGCCACTGGGGTAGTGTCTAGAATCAGAGCACAGTGGTCAGAGGCCTCTGTCTCTATATGAGTACACTTAACCTTCCCAAAGTTATCACACCACTGCCTTGTTCCCATTACTCTATCAAGTCTCTCTTTTATCTCCCCTTCATTGTCCCAATTGTTGCACCAGGTCCAAGGGACTCC